TCAGGCTTTGCGTTGATGAACTTAGCTGCTGCTTCGTAGCCGTGACCGTAGGCGGCAGTTGACGCTTTGGCTATTTTGTAGGAGGCGCCTAATTGAACGTTGGTGCTCGAGAGGTAGGTCGAAATACTGCATTAGAGTCAAATGAGAATGTGTTCATCCCACGGTGTTTCGAGATCACCTACGATTCAATGACCGAGTCCAAAGCCTGGCTGCCTCCGGCATTGTCGAGGAAGACCTGTTCCTGGTTCAGAGCAGGAAAGCGAGATCTAGCCTCAGAAATGCTGAAAGTCATTGTGTGAGCAACTTAGATGTAGCGATTATGGTAAATTGAGAAGAAACGGCTGCGATGAAGAAATGGTTTGGGTAGAAGGAGAGAGAGAGAGAGGAGCGAAGGCAAGAAGAGGAGTGACCCCGCTTGATGACAATCTACTTCCACCCCACGCGATCCACCTCATGTTCCTTCCCCTCTTCCATTCTCTCATCTCGGAGATCCTTTCCGTTATCTATCAGCTACACTACACCATACAATGCTTTGTGCCATGGGTTGACTGCCTGCAGTCGATAGGGAGGGATGACAGATGGTTTTCACCATCATCATCAAATCTCTTGTTGTTTTGCCAAGCCTCGACCGTCCAACTCGCCTCCGTGATGCATGCGGAACAATGGTGACATTCGTGTGTCACTTCGACAACACGCCCTCCAATGTCTTACTCACCTTTATCGAATAAGTTATCATTGAATGCAAGATTTGACGATGGTCCCTACCAATGAGAGCCAATCATTAAGCTCATATTATCCGAGTGCCACCCATGGATCGATCCAGATGCTCAAAGCGGGCGAAGTTGGAGTTTATCTCTAAACGAGCACACGACAAAGAGCTTTAAACCAGCCCAAATTCATTTCGAAAGAGCTGACACCTACTGGAGCCCTCCGCCCTCCGACCTTCTTATCGGCCTGTAACTGTCTGATCGCATGTGGCATCCAATCGTGGGTCGCCACAGCTATCATCCAGCAGGGGCGCTTATCTTGCTTATCTGACCCTGGGCCATCGATCATCAATAGGAGCCTGCAGGGTATTATAGTCGATCGCCGGGCCACATACAGTTGCTTCTCCACTGGGGCGCGACAGCGTGTGCGACAATCTTATTATCCCTTACGTTGTATCCAGTATCATCCGTTTTGTGCACCCATCTCTCGACCGGGAACGACACCTCCTCAGCATCCCAGTCCATGACGAATGACAACTATCGATAGATATGAAGTTTGCTCGGCCTCATCTTCATGTGGCCCAGTCGAGATCTGCTTTTGCAGAGGGCAATTCTCGGTGGACAAACCTCGACCTCGACCCGGTGCCCCTGCATCGCCGCAAATGGGGCCCTCTCAGTTTCATCTGTAGGACTATCCTACATCAATTTTGTGTACTCCAGCTGACTAGGGTTAGCTTACTGGATTTCTGATGCTTTCAATGCAGCCACATGGCAGTTTGCTAGTAGCATCATTGCTGTCGGTCTCAGCTGGCGGGAGTCGCTGGCCATTGTCGCCATATCATTTTTCATTATGTCATTTGTCATTGCCGGAAATGGAGCAGTGGGTGCGATCTATCATGTTCCCTTCCCGGTGATCGCGCGAGCCAGCTGGGGCTTCTGGGGATCATATGTCGCTATCATCTCCCGAGTTATCCTGGCACTCTTCTGGTTCGCCATCCAGAACGTCAACGGGGGTAATGCGGTGCGGGTCATGATTGGCGCCATCTGGCCCAGTTTTTTGAGACTGAAGAACGACATCCCCGAGGATCAGGGCATCACGACGAACGGCATGGTGAGCTACTTTATCTTCTGGCTCATTCAGCTGCCGTTCCTCTGCATCCACCCGAACAAAGTGCGATGGTTGTTCGTGGCCAAGTCGATCATTGTTCCGATCGCCTGGATTGCGATCCTGATCTGGGCGTTTGTCGCCGAGGGTGGAGGGGATATGTTTGCACAGAAGCCGATGGTCTCTGGTTCGCAGTACAGCTGGGTATTCTTGTCAAGCATGACCGCGGTTCTGGGGAACTACGCCACTCTGAGCGTCAATCAGGTATGCTTTCCATGACGATAATGAACTGCGAAAAGTGTCTAACGAGAAGCAGTCTGATTTCTCTCGATACTCGCGTGTCACCCCCAAATGGCAGCTGCTGTACGTGCCAATGCTGCCGATCATCTTTACCTTCATCTCATTCATTGGCATTGCCGCTTCATCGGCGGGTCAGGCCCGTTATGGTGGCACGATCCCCTGGGATCCGATCGAGTTGATCAGCCACTGGTCCAGCCGAGCGTGTCGGTTCTTCGCAGCATTCTCGTTTCTGCTGGCTTCCTTGGGCGTCAACATCTCTGCCAACTCCATCTCCGCGGCGAATGACCTGATGGCCCTGTTTCCGGAGCATGTCAACCTCCGGCGGGGCCAGATCATCTGTGGGTTGCTATCCTGGGCGCTGGTGCCGTGGAAGATCCTCGAGTCGGCGGGCAACTTTATGAACTTCATGTCGGCATATGCGATCTTCCTGGGGCCGATTGCAGCGATCATGCTGTGGGATTTCTGGGTGCTGAAACGCGGCAAGTACGACACTCTGGCATTATACCAGCCATACAACCCGATCTACCGGTACACATGGGGAGTCAATTGGCGTGCGATTGTCGGGTTTCTGGTGGGGGTGGTCCCGAGTCTTCCGGGGTTGATCAGTTCTGTGAACAGTAGCATTTCGGTCGGGGTGGGGGTCCATCCGTATCAGTTCGGATGGCTGCTGGGGTTTGTGGCCACCAGCATTGTGTACGTGGGGCTGTCCTTCTGGTTCCCGGCGCGCGAGTCTCTGATTGATAGGGCTGTGATGGCGGAAGAGATCTACGAGGCGCGGGAACCCGTGGAGGGAGTGTCGGCTGGCTCGGACGAGGCGTTGCACGAACAGGAGAAGATGAAAGTGTAGTTGATCCCGAGGCAGCCAGAGTACAGTGTAGTACATCATTCCAACTCTCCTCTTATGACCCCCACAAGTCTATGAGAAAGAAAAACCCAACGTGTCCATTTTTTACAATCCATAAAAGACGCCAATACCACGGATAAAGAATGCAGAAAACACTTCAAACCTCCAACCCAGCACCCCTCGCATACCCCAGCGCCTCCTTCAACACCTTACTAACCGCCGACGACGCGCGACCAACCTCGCCGCCATCCTGCCTGGCACTCTCCACCCCGCGCTCGACAGCCTTCAAGAACCGTGCCGCAAACACCCGGAACCGATCCTCGCGGGTCTCATACATCTCGCCTTCCTCATCCCTGGGCTGCCCAAACAGATTCAGATAGACATAGGGCTGCGCCGTTTCGGGAAGCATATGCGCCTCCACCTGCGCCAACGGGAACTCCCAGTTCCCAACCGCAGCACCAGCAGCCCCGACACCCTGCTCCATCACGACATCCTCCCCCTCCCCCTCCTCACCCGCCCCGATCCCAGCCTCCAAAAACTCAGCCAACACGCCCAGCACCTTGACCATGGGCCGCCCGGCACTCCCGGACTTCCCGAAGGCCGCCCGCGAGGCCGACCACTTGGACGACTCCTCGGTGTGCCAGCCCAGCACGCTCAGGAAGCAATTGAGGGTCTTGATCCAGCCGCCGGCGCAGCCGACGACCTCGCGGCCGGCGATCTCGACCAGCCACGCCAGCACCTCGACGGCGGTGACCCGGATCTCGGCGGCCAGGTGGGTCATGCCGGCGCGGATGAAGGGGAGGAGCTGGGCGACGTGGTCCTCGACGTCGCGCGGGGGCAGGGCGCGGAGGAGCTTGAGGAGCTGGGTGCGCACGCCGGTGTTGCCGTCCAGGATGAGCGGGGACAGGGTCGGGAGGAGGGTACTCACGGGCTGCGGGAGACTTCCCCCCGCAGTGGGGCGGCTGTTGGTGAGGTGCGTCGTCAGGTGGGCGAGGGAGTCGCGGCGCTGGGCGTCGGATTTCGAGCCCAGCAGGGAGACGTGGTGCGTGAATTGGGTGGTGGTTGTGGGCGCGGTTAGCGTCAGGGATTGTTGGGTTAGGGTTATGCCTGTTTTCTTGGTTAGTATCATGCAGAACAGAATTGAGAGTTCCGGGGGGGAAAGGGGTGAGTACTCTTCGCTTTGAAGCTGGTGTCGGTGAAGTTGTCGGGTTTGGCTTTGGTTTTGCCGACTTTTAGTTTGGCTTTCTAGGGGGGTTGCGTTAGTATGGATGATCGGGTGCATGGAAATGACCGGGGGGTGGGGGACGCGTACTTGGAAATCCTTCTGTTTCTCCTTCTTTTTCTTGGAGCTGGAGCCCATTATGTCGGTTTATTAGGGGGCTACCGAGGATGTGATTATATTCGACTCCGTACGGCGTGTTCAGGGATTGAGATGTGCTGGTTGTCGTTGTCTTGCTGGATTGCGACTGGCCGTGGAATTTTTATACCGTCACGTGAGGTCATGTGAGATTCACTTTGTCGCGTCGTGATTGGTTGGCAGGAGTATAGACACCATCTGGGGTAGTGGATAGCAGGCATTGCAATTGAACATGGTGAGGTGTAACATGCTCTGTAGACCATAATTAAAAAGTGGGTGTCTTTTATAGACACCCCTGTAGATCCATGAATCCATCTCGTCCTACCACAGCCGATACCTTAGAGCAAGAACTCCTCTCGATTGCCTGCACACAAACTCGATTACACTATGACAATCAAATGCTTACACAAATTAAAACCCATCACATTCAATACCCATCCAAACACCCCTTCCCCCCCAAAGGAAAGCATGCAACCCCAATGGTGACACGAGTAGCACCTACCCTACCCTACTCTCTCCAGCCAGAACCACCCGACAAAACCCCCCGAACAAGACCACACATCCAACCCCCATCATCAACCCCCTCAACACCCTACAACCACCTTTTCCTGTACCTCAAACCTCCTCTCCCCCTCATCCCTAAAATATCCATATCCACAAACATCCCCAGAAACCGAATCCACAAGAATGCAATCCCAAGTCCTCCACCACCGACACCATGACACCACCACCACAACCACCACCCTCCCCCAGTCCCCAGAACAAACACCCCTCCCTCCCGAAACCAACTACACCCTCCCCAAACAAACCACCTGGCTCCACCCAGCCACCTACACGACCCTCCACCACGAGACCTTCAACATCTACACGCACCTGCTCCCGGCGCTGTGCTTCCCGACGCTCGCCGTCCTCGCCCCCGACCTACCGCGCCTGCACATCCTCAGCTCCACCGCGTGCCTACTACTATCGGCGGCCTACCACGCCAACAACGGGCACTCGGCCTACGCGCTGAAAGCGGACTACTGCGGGATCCTGGGGCTGCTGGTCAGCAACTTTGTGACGGGGTTGCATTCTGCGTTTGTGGGGGCCCACGGGGTGGAAGGGGAGGAAGAGGCGAGAAGGTGGTGGCGGGATGTTTATATTGCTATCGTGAGTTGAGGGCCCTTCACCTACTAGACATGGCATTGAGAGTTATGCCGGAGCGGAGCGGAAGAGCACAATTGCTAGCGATACTGAATGTGATGATGGTGATGACGACGGGGATGAGATTACAGACCATCCTCCTCACCCTCCCTTCGCTGGGTCTGCATCTTCATCCTGCTGCGGCGGCGGCTTCATCGTCACGTATACCTACGGCCACTTGTTCAGTCGACAACATAGTCAACAGCACACTCGACAGTACAACCACCAGCACAGCTACCACCACAGTCACCAGCACATTAAACAATCCCCACCGAAACGACCCCCACCGCACCCTCCGCGTCACCGCCCTCATCTTCACCGGCCTGAGCGCCCTCATCCCCATCACCCACCTGTACCTCCTGCACGACGCCCGCTACCTCCTCGCCGTCGGCGTGGGGTGGTATGCCCTCGAGGGGATGGCGTTGATCCTCGGCGCCGTGGTGTATCTGGTTAGTTTTCCCCCTCCTGCGCAAGAATTGGATATCACCCCTATAGACATACCCAAAAAGAATGCCGTGGAGAGCACGCACATAAGCAAAAAGGCTAAAATGAACCCCCACTAAAAGAATAAAATCCCCGAACGATGGTACCCGCACAGTAAGGTCTTCATGCTGTGGTCGTCCCATGCCTTCTGGCATGTGCTCGTGCTCGTCGGCATGGTGGCGCATACGATGGGGCTGGCTTGTGCGATGGGCGTCGAGGCGGGAGGGGATTGATGTTTCGTAAAGGTGACTTAGGACTGACGGGGTTGGAAACTGGACTTTCCAGATTGAAGGTGTGAGATTGGGGGTAATGGGTCGTTGCCATCCATGTCTTCGCCTTGGATTTCCGGGTTCGGTTTGGACGGAGTCGTGAAGCCAAGACGAGAGGAATCGGCAGTCGTGAAGATGCGGTAGACTGACTCAGTTTTGAGTGTGGATGGGAGATCATGGATACCGAGTATCCTCCAGGCGAGGATGGTGCCTTTAGCAGTCGCGAGATTAGACTGGACATTAGACTGCAAACCAATACAACTAATATTCTTACCTGAACCCCTGCTACCACCCTAGACCACAATCAGACCTACAGATCTACTACCTTATCCCACCAAACAAAAACAATACCATAATCATCAATCTCGAATTCCACTAAACCCACTAACAAAACCATAAAAAGAAGCCATGACATACACATAAAGCATAAACTCATCCATGAAACTCTATCCGCATATAAAAAAGGTCAAAAACCAAACAATGAGATGCGCACTTCTGCCCGGTCCCAAGTCTCAATAAATAGAACCAAATCATAAACGAAAAAAGCAAAACAAAACAAGAGACTGGAAGCCGGGACAGACGCGATTGTATCAAGCAAGATAAAAACAAATCACACACACAAAGTTCACAACAAAGAAGACGACATCAAGCTGATAATTCCGCCCTTGGAGAGAAAAAGAGAAGAGCGACGGTCATCATCATCCGGATCTTTTCACCTTTCGCCCGATAACAAACATCACGCCATTATTCTGTTACTTCTGGCCATCCCCCGAAAAGAGATAAGGGAAATTCCACGTGTCGACTCAAGAAAGAGTTCATTAGAAACAGTCACACTGCGCATCCACTCGGCTAGCGAGAATATGCAATCGGCTTGGATTCGGCGGAGACTGAAGTCGACGTGGTCATCATGTCTATATCATGGTAAGGGTTTTGAAGGAGTGTTGATAGGGTGGTCGACAATGAGATGTATCAACAGTCGACGATTATCGAGATTAAGGTAAGAAAAAAAAGAAAAAAACAAGGCAAGTAATGAGCTGCCCTCACAGACTCATCGTCAGCCATTCCCACTCTTGACTCGCTCCCTGTCCACCGGCGATACTATGATTGACAGGGTTGGCGGCAGCAGGGGGCATGGCCGGCGCCAATGGCACCACCTTCGAACGACCCGCCGACGAGAGACTCGGTTTGTTGGAATCATCCATAGCGTCCACGTCCGTGGCTTTTTCCAGCCGACGCTGACGCTTAGGCGCCACTTGAACCGAAGTGCGAGCCTGACCAGGGGAGGATGTTGTCGGGGTGGACTTCGGAGGCGCAGCTGCAATAGGCACCACTCCCGCAGCACGGCTGGAGGACGGCGGACCCCCGGGCATTGCAGGCGGGGACTCCGACGAGGTCGTGCCACTCTGAGCCCGGCTCGAGGTGGGCGTGGTCACACTCGCCTGTTGCACCGAGTTCTTGCGCGCCGACTTCTTCGACGACCGCGACGTACCGACCGCCAAACTGTTGGCACTGCTGCGGTTGCGCTTCTTGATCACGTCCGTCTTGAGTGACAGGGGGCGCACCACACCATGCAACTTTAGGAACAAGCCACAGGCGTTACACAGAGGCTGCCCTTCCGGGTTGCGACGCCACAAGGGGGTGGTTTGAGTGAAACAGTTCGTGCAGGTAGTCGGCCCGCTGCTCTCACCGTTCTTGGAGCCTCCGGGGCTGGCCGGACGGGAGGGAACGGCACTGCTCAAACCAGACTCGGGCGGGGTGTTGGGGGACGTATGAGAGGTATTATTGGCGCTCATGCTCTGACGTAACAGCTGAGAAGTGTTCGGGGTGGAGGTCGTGCGTGCAATCTTCTGCCGACGGGGATCCTGCTCCCGATTGCGGACCTCACTGACCGAGGCGGCCGATCCGTGCGTCCGGCCCAGACTGCCGCCTTGGTTCCACTCACTCGGAGTATCCATCATGTCCGCCGACCCGATAGTCACATGCTTACGATGCTGAGCCGCAAAACCAGGCAGCGAGTGGAACGAGCCCGGAAATTGACCATCCCACTGCATCCCTGCATTGAGGTCCGCAGCCTCATCAGCCAAGTCGTTGGGCATGGCCAATCCGGCGCGGTCGGAAAATTGGTTGCCATCGTCATCCTCGTTGTCCGAATCAGCCCCAAAGCTGAACATGGCTGCGTGGGAAGCGCCCGTGCCAAAGTCGCCCAGAACCTGCGTCGGATCCACGTGCTGCGGCTGGGGAATAGGGTAGCCGGGAGAGTGCATCGAGGAAGGAGGGTTGCTGGCGTGGTGGGACTGGTCCTGGTTGTACATGTAACGTGGCTGCAACGATGCCGACAGGTTCGACGTGCGATGCGTGACGTAGTTGGGAACCCGCCGCTGCGTACGCGCATCAATCGACGGCATGTCAAAATACAGGTTATGCTCGCCATCATAGGCCGGCTGCGGCGTCGAGGCCGTCGACTGGTACCCTGAAGGTGGAGGGGAGAAGAAATCGGTCGAGTTCAAGGACGAGGCGACGGGTGTGTGAGCATACAAATTGGCAAACGGGTTTCCTGACGTCATGGGCGAATCGCTGGGCGAAAACGTGAAATTGGTCTGGTAGGGACCCGCCGAGGTCAGAATCGGATCATCGCCCAGGTTGAACGTATCCAAGCCAAACGGCACATTGGGAGAAGTGTGGTTGGAAGGGTGAGCGGGCTGGTGGTTGCCGTGGTGCAATCCGAACGCCGACGACGCATCCAGTGTGTAGTCGGGCACAGCACCTGCCAGGTCGGGGTCATGGTGGGCCAACATCGCGTTCGACAGGGGTGGCACTTGCGGGGACGCTTCGGCCGGTCGCTTGCGGGTGGGAACCTGGAGACCAAAAAACTGGCGCTCGTCAATACTAGTCTTGCGGACCCGACGAGGCACGTAGCCAAATTCGCTGTTCTTCCGCTGGTCTTGAGGAGGGTGGGTAAACGAGGCGGGCACGGGGGTTGGCTCCACCAGATGTTCTTTTCGAGTGGATTTGATCGGAATAGCAGCCGAGTTTGTCTCGCCCTTGGTTGTGACAGGAGAGGGGTGATCGGAAGGAGATTCGAAGGGAACAATGAAATCGTCGAGGTTCATGGGATCCGCGGCCAGGTCGGTAGTGGAGGGTTGGTGCGAGGCGACTGGCGTCCGGTCGGCCAGACGTAGCTGGGCGATCCCACTCGGACCCGAAATGCTGTGTCTCGTCGACAGGCTGGCATGGGGAAGAAATATGTGAGCGATCATTGCCGCAAGAGCGACCGTGGGGGGGGGAGAGGCGGTGATGCGGACGCCACCTACCTAGACTGCTCAACGCGTTCCCGTTCCTTGCGTCTCAGACTCATTGCCATCATGCGCCAGGTCAAGTTCTCCATACGCTCCTGGTTGGGGAGTTGAGCCTTAGTCCTAGAATAGAGCTTCCATATCTGGGTTGCTAAAGGGTCATTCCTTTGCATCTCATCCGGACAGTCGTTACTCTCTCGGGGGGACTTCCACTCGGGAAACAGCGAGTCGTGGAGTAGACCGTCCTGAGCCTGAGAGGAATCGGCAGGCGAGATAGGAGAATCGAAGGAGAGATCGTCGGAAAGTTGAGAGGACGAGGGAGGATGAGGGAAACGATAGTTGTTAGAGGTGGTGGTGGTGGTGGAGGAGCGGCGGTCGGGGTCGGCGGAATGTAAGGTCGAGGCAAATGCCGCGGATTGCGTCGGTCGCACACCACTCAACCCAGACATCATGACCGAATCTGGGTGTGGGATTGGGGGGAGGGGCGAGTGCTATTGGCAGGGCCCACGAGGGGCAGACCGGGCAGAAACAGGGCAATCTGACGGATTCAAGTGATTAATAAAGAATTATAATAAAAGAAAAGAAAACGACCAGAAAGAACTAGTGCGAGTCGAGAGAGAGAGAGAGAGAGTGAGTCGAAGCCCGGGCCAGATAAGAGCTGCAGAAAAGCGCAATCGGGAAAGACGGGCGAAAGGGACCAAGCGGGAAAGGCGATAAGAATAGTAGTGGAAGGGAAGAGTGGGAGGGAGGAAATTGCAGTAGTGGTTGGTGGTGGTGGTGGGTGGTAGTGGAGGGGGGAACAGGGAAAAAAGAAAAGAAAAGAAAAACCACCAAGAAAGACCAAACAGCGAACAAGCAGCAGGGAATTGATTGATTGGAAGGGAAAGGATGGGGAAGAGAGAACACACCACCAGTTTTTGGACAAGTAGAAGACGTGTAGGTGAAGAAAAGGAAGAACAGACAAGAAAAAAGAGATATTGATGAGTGAGTGAATGAGTGAGTAACTGTCGGTGCGGAGAGAGTCGATCAGACACGACTCGACACCACCACGACAACGGGCGACGACAAAACCCGGGACGGGAAAAAGAGAGAGAGCGCGAGGGAGACGGAGAGGAAGACGGAAAGTGCAAAAAGAGAGTGAGAGAGGGAGGGAGGAGGAAATGCAAAGAGACGGGAAAGAGTCGGAGAAGCAAGAGCAGCAGCAGCAGAGAGCAAGCAGTAGTAGTACAGTTGGAGGTGGGGGGGGATTGGCCGGGTGAATGTTGGTTTGGCAGCACGAGCCATGAAACAACAATGGACTTCAAAGAAAGATTTCCTCTCTACCCGCCCTAAACGAATATTCCAAAAACAAAATAAAATAAATAAACCACGACTAATTCAATTCAAACTCTTTCGAACTCACTCTGCAACTCTCTTTTTTCCTTTGGCTCTCTGACCGTCTGGTGGTCAATTCTCCGGATAATAATCGGAAAAGAGATCCCAGCAAACTCTCAGTGTGTAGGGATCAAATGGGGATGATGATATGTAAGGTAGGGATGGGTGCAGAGAGAAAGAGAGAGAAGGTTGAAAGTATTAATATGTCAAAAAAGAAAGCAAAAACAAAAGAAGACAGTAGAAAAAGGTTATAACCTACTCAGTTCTGGTCCCCAAAAAAGGCAGACAGTCTCTCTTCTTTTCGGGATCCGATATTAATAGATGAACAATCCCAAATAGGCGAGGAGGAAGAGGAGGAGGAGAGGAGGACGGCAGTTCAGCCGGAGGTGCAGGAGAAGCGAAGCTACTTTTCTAGTGGAAAGAAAGAAGAATAAGAAAGAAGAACCAAATGATGATGGTGAGATCAATCGAATCAATCAACGGCCGTTGATTTTGCCTTCGATCGCAGCAGGATGCAAGTCCCTGGCCCTATCGCCGGCTTTTC